CGACGACGACGAAGACGACGACGACGACGTCGACAACGAAGACGACCGGGGAGGAGGGAGGACGACGACGGCGACAACGACGACAACGACGAGGGAGGAGGGAGAACGGCGACGACGCGAACGACGAAGGAGGGAGGACGGCGACGCCGACGACGACAACGGCGAGGGAGGAGGGAAGACCATGACGACGATAACGACGACGGCGACGAAACAGGAGGGACGACGACGAGACGCCGACGACGGACGACGACGACGACGAGAGAGGAGGAAGGACGACCACAGCGACAACGACGACGGAAACGACGACAACACGGAAGAGGACGACGACGACAACCCACGCAGCGAGTGATTTGCGTGATGATAATGGTGCAAAATTGGCAGTGCGACCTACGTGTGTGACCCATGTGGTGTAAGCTATGTGGTGGCACCTATGCGGCGCAAAAAACTTTAACAAACGAGTTGGTACATCCCATGCTCTTGCAAACAACCCACCCACCGACCCGCAGCTTGGTTGGCAAAACCCATGCGGTGGCGACTGCGATGCATGCTTGGCCTTGGCTGGTGCATCTCTGCGGCCGCGCCAAAAAAAGGGCCCCAGGGGGACACAAAGAAGTGTACCCCTGCTCCAGGGCTTCCCAAATGTCTCCGTGCTTCCCGGCCCTTCCTCGTCCCCTCCATCCCCCACGTGCCCCCCACGCTTTCACCATGACAGGCACTGCTAGCTGTGCGTGGTGTCGGTGTCCCCCTCCTGCCTTGTCTCTGTGAGGTGAGGCGTGCGGACGCGCGGCTCCCTGCCGCGGCGGCCGCGGAGGCACAGACCCCAGGCCCTCGTCACGCCCTGGCCTCGCTGGCGGCCGCGGCGCGGAGGGTGCTCGCGTCCGCGCCCGCCTGCTCCAGCTTGGCCATCGCCTCGTGCTCCAGCGCGTCGGCGTCTGCGCCCATGCTCCGCGCCCGCAGCTCGGTGGCGTTGCCGTCGGCCTTCTCCCTGGAGGCGAGCAGCTGCATCTGGGCGGCGTCCTGGCCCTCCTCCTTTGCCTCCAGCGCCACGGCCCGGACCAGCGCGGCGCGGTCCTTGGGGTCCTTCAGCTCCCGCTCCCCCTGGGCGTCCGCGGCCTCGGACCACAGCTTGCTGCCCCTGGCGATCGCCTGGCCGTCCTCCTCGGCCTCGCCCGCCCGCTCGAAGGCGGCCCGCGCCCGGTGACTCTCGAGGCCCGACGCCTGGCGGATCGCCAGCACGTCGTCAAGGTCCGCCCGCGCATCGGCCTCCACGCCCCTGGCCATGGCATCTGCGTCCTCCATGTCCACCTGCAGGAGTAGCCAAAACTGCATAAGCCTAAACTTTCGGAGCTCCGCGCAGACGTCCTGGATCGGCTCAGGACACCCCTCCCTGGCGCGCAGAGCGCGCCAGCGGCGGCGCTGGAGGCGCCGCGAGGGGGCCCCAGCGCCGATCCAAAAAATCCGCGCAGACCTCCAGAAATTGTTGCTTGTGCCGGGCTTGTTCCTTCAAGTGTCCACCGTGGCGTTGCCCGTGGCCTGCACGCCCTGGCTCCTCAGCACGCGACTGGCGCTGCCGAGCTGAAGGGCCAGGATCAGCACCAGGGCGCTCTTCATTGCGGCGACGCGAGGCTCTGCAGCAAGGCGACTGGCGTCTGGACGGGAGGCGGATTGAGCTACAACGACTTGCGCCACAGAGGACACGGATCAATAAGGTGAGGGCATTGAATAAGGAACCAATGGATAAGGAACCCACGGTCTGGGTGCCCACCAACCGCGGCTTGGCCATGGATAGCACCGCCGCCCCGATCAGATAAGGAAACGTCCAAGGTCTGAATAGAGAGTTCCCAGATGGGGCCCGAGTAGATGGGGTCGGAGGATCGCGCCGCATCGCCGATACATCGGCGATGCATCGGCGATGTATCGGCGATGCATCGGCGATGCACCGGCGATGCATCGTCGACGTGGGCGATGCATCGGCGACGTAGACGTGAAGCAAATCGGGTTCCACATCGAGCCGCATCGGCGATGCATCGGCGATGCGGCACGATCCTCCGACCCCATCTACTCCGACCCCATCTAGGAAGCCTAGACTGAAGCCTCCTGGCAAAATTCCTTGACGAACTACCCCCACCGTAGTATCTCCTTTACATGTTAGCCAGCGTGGACACTAAGCATTCTGCTCTCAAATACCCAGTGATGCAAGCGATGTGGTACAAACTATGTGGTGCAAACAATCACTTGCTCAACTTGAAGCTGTCATCTCCACTGCTCGTGCAAACATCCCACCCTCCAACGCGCAACTTGGTCGCAAGACCTCTTAAGACCGTGACAGTAGGTACCAAATGGCACTTGGCAACGACACCGGTGTCGACAACGACTGCGACAACGACGACGACGACGACGACGACGCCACCGACAACGACTGCGACGACGCCGACGACGTCTCCAACGACTTCGACGACGACGCCGACGAAGACGACGACACCGACGACGACGACGCCCACGTCGACGACGACGACGACGATGACAACGCCGCCGACGACGACGCCGACGACGACGCCGACGACGACGATGATGACGACGACGACGATGACGACGACGACGAAGACGACGACGACGACGTCGACAACGAAGACGACCGGGGAGGAGGGAGGACGACGACGGCGACAACGACGACAACGACGAGGGAGGAGGGAGAACGGCGACGACGCGAACGACGAAGGAGGGAGGACGGCGACGCCGACGACGACAACGGCGAGGGAGGAGGGAAGACCATGACGACGATAACGACGACGGCGACGAAACAGGAGGGACGACGACGAGACGCCGACGACGGACGACGACGACGACGAGAGAGGAGGAAGGACGACCACAGCGACAACGACGACGGAAACGACGACAACACGGAAGAGGACGACGACGACAACCCACGCAGCGAGTGATTTGCGTGATGATAATGGTGCAAAATTGGCAGTGCGACCTACGTGTGTGACCCATGTGGTGTAAGCTATGTGGTGGCACCTATGCGGCGCAAAAAACTTTAACAAACGAGTTGGTACATCCCATGCTCTTGCAAACAACCCACCCACCGACCCGCAGCTTGGTTGGCAAAACCCATGCGGTGGCGACTGCGATGCATGCTTGGCCTTGGCTGGTGCATCTCTGCGGCCGCGCCAACCGTAGCACGCGCGCGCAACGGCCAGCTAGTTTGGCGCCGCCGACGCGACCGCGGTGGCGCTGACCGCTGGGCACACCCCATCGGGCAGTTCACTTCGAATCGGCGACTTGGGCGGGCGCGGTAGCATGGCAACGTCGACAACGGTAGACACGATGATGATAGTAGCGACGCTGGTGACGATGTTGGCACCAACGAAGGCGCTGCCAGTGCGGGCGCCGATGCGGATCACGCCGACGACGATGACGGCGTCCTCGCGTCGGTGATGAAGATTTTGGACAGTGTTCGACATGCGCACGCGGCCGACGCGCGAGAGTGGCCCACTTGGTTTTATTTGACACGGATCGTGCCCCCCCAGCACGCACGCAAGGGAGTGCGAATGATGCCGGCATGCGGCGCCAGAGGCCCTTTTAGCAGAATTCAGCGAAAATATTGGAATTCTATGTTGTTTCTATTTTAAAAAAATGCGAGCGCACGCGTTTTTTGTCAAACTGATGTTGCGAAACCATGTGTTTTTGTATGTTGATGTGGACATTCGGTTTAAACACCGCTACGAAACCGCAGGTGATTAACGGATTCCGGCATGCGCGCGCGACGACGCGCGCGCGTGCATTTCGCCCCGTTTGTTGCAAAGGATTCTCGCGACGGCACTCGCGCAAGGGCGAGCGACCGATTTCGACATGCGCGCGCGAAGCCCGTTTGGAGCATGTTCTGAAAATGTAAAGAAAAAGCCTAATTGCAGAATTCGCGAGAACGCACACGCACCTTTTTTTTTTCTCCCCATATCCAAAGATGGGGTTCTTGTTATTCCCCATATCCAAAGATGGGGTTCTTGTTATTCCCCATATCCAAAGATGGGGTTCTTGTTATTGGCGGACCGCGCCGGAAGGACACAGAACAGGACAGAACACCACACCCATCACTCAGACACACACGTAAGTTATTCCCCATATCCTAAGATGGGGTTCTTGATTCCCCATATCCAAAGATGGGGTTTTTGATTCCCCACTCACTCATCACTCAGACTCACTCATCAAGACTCACTCATCACTCAGACTCAGTCCTCACTCAGACACACCACTCATCACTCAGACTCACCACTCAGATTCACTCATCACTCAGACTCACTCATGCTCTCTCATCGCTCAGACTCAGTCATCACTCAGACTCAGGCGATTCGCTCGTCTCAGCAATCCAAGGGGGGCGGCGGGGGAGTATTTCACGGGGTCCCGTTCGCGGAATTTTGTGGGGATGTCTCAGGCGGTTTGGCCATTTTCTGATTCAGCATGTTTCGTTTTCGGAGCAGATTTGGAGGATGTCTCAGGCGATTCGCTCGTCTCAGCACTCTAAGGGGGGCGGCGGGGGGGTATTTCACGGGGTCCCGTTCGCGGAATTTTGTGGGGATGTCTCAGGCGGTTTGGTCATTTCTCTTCCAACATGTTTCGTTTTCGGAGCAGATTTGGAGGAAGAGGAGGAGGAGTCAGGAGGAAGAGGAGGAGGAGGAGGAAGAGGAGGAGGAGGAGGAGGAGATGATGATGATGATGATGATGATGATGATGATGAGGGGGAGGAGGAAGAGGAGGAGGAGACTGGGGAGGAGGAGGAGGAGGACGAGGCAGGGGAGGAGTAGGAGTAGGAGTAGGCGGAGGAGGAGGAGGACGATGATGAGGAGAAGGAGGCGAGCATGAGCACGAGTAGGAGCAGTAGAATGGGATGATGATGATGATGGTGATGCTGGTGATGATGATGATGGCGATGATGATGATGATGATGATGATGATGATGATGATGATGATGATGATGATGATGGTGGTGGTGGTGATGATGATGATGATGATCGCAACGACGATGGCCGCGCCGCTTTTTTGATAATCGAGGAGGAGGAGGAGGAGGCGCAGGAGGAGGAGGAGGAGGAAGAGGAGGAGGAGGAGGAGGAAGAGGAGGATCAGGAGGACGGGGAGGGGCAGGAGGAGGAGCAAGAGGAACTTCGAACTTCGAGGTCTGGAGGCCCGTTTCGGGCTCCGGCACTGATGATGGTGATGATGATGATGATGAGGATGATGATGATGATGATGAGGATGATGAGGAGGAGGGGGAGGGAGGAAGGAGGAGGAGGAGGAGGGGAAGAGGAGGAGCAGGAAGGGGATGATGACGACGATGACGATGACGATGACGATGATGATGATGATGGTGATGATGATGGTGATGATGACGCAGATGATGATGATGATGACGATGATGACGATGAGGGGGATGATGAGGAGGAGGCTGGTGATGATGGTGATGATGCTGATGATGATGATGATCATGATGATGACGACGATGATGAAGAGGATGAGGATGCGTACGAGGACGATTAGAATGACGACGACGACGACGATGATGATGATGAGGATGAGGATGATGATGTTTGCCCCGCTCTCTCAGAGGTCTCTTGCTCTCTGATAGAGTTGATCAGAGATATCTAACAGCTACAGAGGACCTGCCGCTATCATTCGTTAAAACTAGTAGGGGGTATTTCTTGGAAGGTGCGTTGGAGGTTTCTTCGGGTGTCTGGAGATCCTCTTAGCAGACCTCGGAGATCTCCTTGACGCTCTTGGGGAGTTCTTGGGAGCATATTGGAGACCTCTTCACCGCTTCTTCAGGCCCCGCCCTCGGTCCTGGGGGGACTGGATAAAGAGAGTGGTAAACCCTCCCTGAAGAGGAAACAGAGAGTTGGAAGAGAAGCTGTCCTAGCCCTCATACGCTCACAGGCTGGTGGAGCCAGCGAAGCGCGGCGATACGGGCTTGATTATCCACCTGCCTGCGGCAAGTCCCGCCACCGTGCGAGTCCAGCATGCTCGGCGGCTCTCGTTCCAATGAGGACGGGAGGCCGCACTCGCGAGGGATGAACAACAAGGTAATGATGATGAGGCCGGTACTCGCGGGTTCTACCACGTTCTTACGTGCCAAGGGTACGGTGGCGGAAATATCAAACCCGTCCCCCTGCGAACACATTTTAAGACAAATATCGTGCCGAGCTCGATCCCCGCGTCTTCTCGCACCCCACTGGGGCGCGATTTGTGGGAGTTCCAGAAATGGAACAAGGAGTCATTTGCATTTCGTTGCCACGGAAAAATCCGCGTTCTATTTTCTCTTTCCCCCCCTCCTCCTCCTCCTCCTCCTCCTCCTCCCTCTCCCTCCCTCCCTCTCTCTCTCTCTCTCTCCCTGCCGGCTGTGAGGATGTCTCGAGCGAGCAGGCAGTGCTGTAAGTAGGGAGCATGTTGCCCACACTCATGCCCACTCACACTCAAACGGAGGACGCGTCAGCAAGGATGTGTAAAACAATCCGATCACGCTCAGAGAGCGTTGCAATCTACGTTTCGCGTGTCGTGAGGCGTTCCTTGACATATACCCATAGAAAGACTTACCAAGGGATTGATATGCATGGAAATCCATG